CTAACTCTGGAGTTCCTAGGAGGAAGTGACCTTGAATCTGGGACTTGGTGAGTAGGTAGGAGTTTGTTGAAGTGGGGAGAGGATAAAAGGGACATTTCAGGGAGAGGGAAGACTAAATACTGATGAGAAGGAGGCAGCAGAGAGGAAAGCTCAATCTACAGGGGAGAAAGGGATCGTGGATGGGCTGTGCGCGGACCTGGCGAACGTGCAGGGTTGTGGCTTCTAGAAGATGCTGATTCTGATGGTAGGAAACGCCTCATTGTGTAACGGAAATAGGAAAAGATGGTGCATTTTTAAAAGGGTAGGTACAGTGACAGGTAAGGCCTTAGAATTGGTGGTAAGACATGGTGAATTCTTGTATAGTGACTTCATTTTTGGGGGGGCAGATTCCCTGCTCCCCGCTTTCCTGAGATGGAGCACATTTGAAGTCGAGGAAAACAGAAGGGGTCTTTGGCGATGTAACTCAGGATGCGACATGTTTCAGCACGGCAGTGTACAGGAGAAAGGCTCACAGGAGGCCAAGGTTAGCACAGTGGGAGGTCTATCATCTTGTTGTCCTTGATCCTGTTCCTGTGAGGGCTTTTTCCATCTTCCCTCACACTACCCTTGAAATCTGAAGACCCAGCTTCATGTAGCAGTGAAACAAGACAGAACCGAGTGACTCGTAACTCACTCGAGGGGCTAAGCCCAAGAAACACATTGCTCTGGGTGGGTGGTGGGGATCAGAGTGGTTCACAAGGGTGACTAGGGTGCGGGAGCTGAGCCACGTGCAAGTCCTGGGTGTCACAGCCCTTTAGAGGTGCTGGGAGATCACTTTAATAAGGTCAAGAAATGATCTTCTGAGTCTTTCCTTTTGTATGGATTTCATACCGATTGGAATATGCCTCTTGAATCCAAAATAGGGTGGAATTAGAATGTTCCTCTAGTTTGGTGCCTGTAACTCGATCTGTTAACAGTGGGACTGACTCCCTTCTCTCTCTTCAGTCGTGGGACACACAGTATTGGTTTCTGCTTAGTAGGAGGCGGAGAGGTCATTTGCTCACAGTAAGAGGAAATGTGGTGGAATTGTGAAATTGAGGACAGTGGAGAAAGTTTAAAATAATTTTGTAGAGAAGCAGCAATAGAGCTAGTGAGTGAAGCCTGCTTGGGTGGCTGGTCAGAGTTCCCATTGGGGACTCTGAGGTTTACAGTGGCAATTGTGTGGTTCCCTCAAGGTGTGGAAACTGGTCGTGAGCATCATGACAAGGGGCCTGAGGCTGAGACTTGACTGGTCCTGCTGGGTCTCTGCCTGGGAAGCCCGCAGAAAGGCACAGGGCCGGTGAGTTGTGAGTGTTGGAGAGATGGAGGTTGACATGCTGGCTTGTGGACTCTTAGAAGCACAGGAACAGGAGGAGAGACAGGAGAGAAACAAAGATGGGGACATGTGAATACGGGGGGGTGGCCAAGGGTTTAGGGGTCCCTGGAATGTGTGTAGGGGGAGCTAGTGAGGGATCGGAAGGACAGGAAGTTGCAGTCAGGGAGCAGGGTATTTCAATGTATGACTTCAGACGTGGAGAAGGTCTGAGTAATCAGAAAGCCCAGGATGTGGCCTGGGAGGGCCCGCATTGGCCCCTGTCATCGCTGGGACCCTGTCTTTGATCCCACATCCACACGGAATCTCTCTCTCCTTTCGGTGTCTGGTGCACCTCCCACCTCCGCTACCCTTTTCCCACTTTCTGGTCCAGAAAGAGGCACTCACAGCATCTTTTTTACTTCCGGAGAAATTTATTCCACATGTGTCTGATTCATTTGCGTTTATAGAAACTCAAATTCTCCAGTGTCCCAAAACCCTTTCAACTATTTTTTTTCTTCCCTTTCTTAGAAACAGGAAGTTGTGTTTGGCTGAAGACGAACTCTTGAGTGTGCCTGGGACTTACACGATATTTGGAAGGAGGAATGGTGAGGTCTGAGAAAGGCTTCTTTGCTCTCTCCCTTCCTCGGGCAACCGTGCATCTTCCAGGGGTAGGCTGCGCAGCTTGTGGGGATGGGAGACTAACCAGAACTTTCCTGTCTCTCATCACTGAGCCCAAACCGAGCCCGAGGGAAAGTATGCTCTCAAAGAAACAGGTGTCTTAGAAGCCTCTTGTATTTCTTTCTCCCTGCACCAGCATTGCTATGCAGAACGTACTTGTATATAAGGTCTCATCTTTCTCTTTCCGATACTTTAGCTGTGTTTGCGAGGAGCCCCTCTACTAGGTAATAGTTTGGGGTGGTGTGGGTGAGCTACCACTCAACTGTAAGCAAGGAAGGCCAACGACCTCCCAAATGGAGTCTCAGAGAAGCTCCACATCTGAAGAAGAGTGGAACATGCCGGAAAGGGGCGTGCCTGTTTTCGTGAGTCCTGCCAGGTTGTTGGGAAGTGTCAGCCTAGAAAGCACACAGGTGCCTGGGAAGGGCCGACATGGTGTCGGTGAGTCCAAGCGAGGAAGGGGGTGTCAGAGCCCAACCGCTCTGCCCCCTCTGCATTCCACCTCTTAGCTCCCCTTGGTGTGTCATTTTGTTCTGTTTAGACTTTTTTAAACTGTAACATCAATATAACCACAATATGTCACTTCAGTGATTTCACTGGTGGAACCACCAAAAACTTCAGCTTACCTTGGTGATTTCTTTCTCTTTCACATTCCACATGCAGCTTTCTCGAAGCTGCCAGCTCAGCCAGGGGACACGGGAAACGTGCCATGCTAGAAGGGAGCTTTCTCATAACGACATACATCCTTCGGCCAAGGGCTCCCCGAAGCGAGCAAGTCCCTGTTTCTGTTCCTTATGGGCAGGGGTGCTCCCTTCCTCTGCCTTCCATCCTGGTGCCCCTGTGCAGCGCCTGCTCAAGGCCCATGGATAGCTCGTTGCCTCACTGATGGTGGAATTGGGGGTGGGAATGCTGGTGGCAAGATACTTCTCTCCACTCAGGGGGTCCCCTCCCCCTTGACACAGAACAGAACAAGGCTGGAGGGGGACAGGCGTCAGGGACAGTCGCGTAAATGTACCTGACCTGCTGCCTGCACTGTCTTTGCCATGTCCACCCCATCTCATGCTTTGTTTTGGCCATGTGTGCAGTAAGTTAGCTTTAACTCAGCACAGAGGCAAAGGGAAGTCATCAGGCGGTGGCAGCAGAAATCTGGAAACTTGGGGATAATACCACATCTGATCCTTTTGACTAGGTTCCAGATTTCTGTTCACTCTATAGACAAACAATTCCTAATTTTCAAACACCAAAGGGGATATTGCCGCTCCCACCAGGGACTGTGATGTGAGGCCAAGCACGTGGAGCAGAGATGGCTGTGGGCTCAGGAGCCTCCCGTCCTGCTGCCCCAGAAGACGCAGCCGGGCAGGGTGGCAGGGCGTCCGCACTGAGTGTGGAACTCCGGCACCGAGCAGCAGCACTTCCCTGCCACTTTAGACTCGAGATCGCAGAGGTGACGATGCCCCTCTCTTTATTGTCCCTGGACCACAAGTTGAAAATATCAAGACAAAGCAAAAGCCAACATACTCTTAAGAACTTTCCTATGGCTCTTGTTATCTTTTTTGCAGGAAGGGAGAGGCAGGGAAAAAAAAAGAAGAGGGTTCCAGCAGAAGGAAGCTGCACTGCATGTTTACTTGTTAGGGAGGAGGAACAGTCCTCAGTAAGAGGGCCCGCTTGCTTAAAAAGGGACCTAGTGGACATCATCAGAGAGCAAATGTAGGGCTGGTGGGAAGATGGCCCATCGCCCCTGGGAAATGCTCCTGGGAGGGGCGGTCTGCTGAAGCACATGGGGGACCAGTGATGTGTTGCATCCTTTTGTAAATTCACAAAACCATCCGGTCAGCTACAGGGGAATAAGGGCAGGGAATAAACCGCAGACAAGGATTCACTTATCTTAAGGATGAAAGATTAGGAAAAGAACTTTGATACTCATTTATCACCTTGCAAATATTTCTGGCAGGTACTTGGAGGGTACAGGTGAATGACCAAGTCACCTGCCGAGTCAGGGCCATAGGGACTCCCATTCCAAGGCACCTCTACCAGGTTCCGTGAGGAGCACTAACTGGAAAATGCAAATTCACAGCAAAGGAGGGGCAGTCTTTTCTTCTCCAGGCAGAAAGGGTGGTCGTGCTTGGCTGTGGGAAATAATGATGCGGGCTCTCTCTGCAGATCTGTTTTCTGAGTCCCTGAGCTGCAGCTGTTGAGTTTCCAGACACAAACAACTATGTATTCTGTGAGCCTTGCCGAGCCCACACAGCGAGGAAGAGCCAAGCTGGATTCCATTCCGCTTTGCACATCAGCAGCTCTGTTGCCAGCTGAACTCCAGGGCGAAAGCTGTGCCTGGTAATGATGCAGGCGGTAGGGATGGCACAGCTGGGCTGGCCTGGGCAGCAAGTGGGGGGACACACTTGGCCTTGAGTGTTTTGGGGAGAATGAGAAATGAAAGGAGATGAAAGATTGCAGAAAAAACATTTATCAGCCTCAGTAAAACTGGTGCACAGCAAGGAAAAATCTGGCTTTACTAGGCGTCATCGACCACATGCCTGCGTGTGTGCCTGTTTATGTTTAGGTACGCCCGGCCTCCGCTCACTGAGGAGTCGGCAGACAGGAAGGGGAGGCAGGAACAGTGGTCAGCTCTTAGTCAACAGCCGCGTGCACCACGCAGATGTGGCTAGCTAAGGGCACGGTAGGGGCTGAAGTCCCGTGGGCCTTCCTTGTACCCAAGGGCCCGAGTCCTCGTCTGGCCCCTTTCCCTCACTCACACACGGCTCCACATCGCACCTTCCCTGCCTGTGTCACCATACATTTGGAGAGGTCTTAACAGAAAGCAAAAGGGAAGGACAAATGGGTAAAAGGTGGCAAAAGAAGGAAGATAAAAATTTAGATATTTTCTTTCTTTTTACTAGAATGTTTCTTTTCTAACATTTATTTTAATTAAAAAAACACAACAACAACCCTTACCCAAGGGTATGGTTATTGATATTAGAGAGAGAGGGTGAGAGGGAAACATCTATTGGTTGTCTCCCATATTCGCCCCGCCCGACTGAGAATCGAATACTCAATCTGGGTATGCGCGCCCTGACCAGGGATTGGACCTGTAATCTATTGGTGGTGTACTGCTGTACGGGACGATGCTCCAACCAACTGAGCCACCCGGCCAGAGCTAGAATGTCATTTCTTGATGTTGTCTGTCTCTCCTCACCCACTTATGACCAAGCACTATGTATCCTCTGCAGCAGACCCCGTGGAAGACTGCGCCTGAGGAGCTATGTCCCGGGAGACGGGGTTTTGGAGGCTCTCAGGTAGTTCCTGGGGGCTGGTGGGGAGCGCCATTCTGAGTGAAAGGGCTGGCTGGACAGCTGCAAGGTGCTCGGGCCCAAACAGCTGTGAGATGGGGATGGATTCTGGTGCAGAGGGAAAGAGCTGAGGGCTCAGAACCCCTCAGGGCCTAAGAGACTCTTGTACGTCCTGCTGGCTAGTGGGTGAAAGTGGGGGTGGGGACACATGCAGTGGGGAGGGGACAGTCTTTCTCAGGAAAAACCAGCCCAGAGGCATTGCATAGCAACTGTGCCTCTGAACTGGAAATTTCCACCAGAGCAGTGATTCTCAAAGCACAGCTTCCAGACCAGCAGCCTCCGCGTCACCTGGAAACTTGTTGGAAGTGCAGACCCTCAGGCCCCCCGGGACCTACTGTCTCAGAAATGTTGGAGGTGGGCCCAGCAATCTGGGTTTTGAGAAGCTGTCTAGGTGATCCTAATGCCCACGCAAGTTTGAGAACTACTGGGTTATGTGAAGGTGGAGTTTTCCAAATGAGCTGGATTTGGCAGGTGTCTGAGAACCCAAGCAGAAGGCCTGAAAAGACTCAGGCGAGGTGCCCGCTTCCCAGTGTGTTCAAGGTCAGCTGACCAACCTAGTTTTGGCCTTTGTCCTTGGGCTCTGCGTCCCCTGCCCTTTCAAAAGAAATACTGAAGCAGACCAGACCACTGCGTTGGCACAAGATCACACTTTAGTTCAGAGACGCATTTGCATAAATACTTGAAACGGGTCCACCCTGCAGGTGGAAGCCTGGGAGCGTGTGGCTCCCCGCAACCCCGCAGCCCTTCAGGCAACGGATTTTAATACTGAAGAGAGTCGTGATCACTTCTGAAGCCAGCTTAGCAGCTTGCTTTGACATTCGCCGTTGACTCCCCACCCCACACCTATCTTGGACTAAGTTTTTCCCCTCTGAGGTAGATTATTTATAGGGGAAACCAAATAGAAAACATTTTTTTGTTGTTTAACTTTGCTCGTCCTTTGCAAACAGGCTGACTGAGTCTCCTGTTTGGGTCAACAAGTACACTTTCACCTTTTAACCTATGCCCTCTACTTGAACCCAAGCAAGGTCCCGTCCCCTAGAAAGTAGACATTAGGATCTGTTGGCCCATCTTCTCTTCCCCTCCCTGTGCCAAAGGGGCTGGGGCCATGCGAGAGCTGGGTAGGCCATGCCACCTCCACATGTAGAGTCATCATGGTGGGGACACTTGCCTGTACCCCGGCACCCCGAGTCCATGAGCACAAGACTGGCCCCACTGCGCAGGTCACAGAGGGCATGGCTGGCTTCCACAGGGCTTGGCATCCTCGGGTTTCAGAGCCTTGTTGCAGGCGGCAGAGGTCTGGCCGCTGGGGTCCCGGCACTCCACGGTCCGTCGCTGCCAGCCAGCCCCGCAGCTGCTTGAGCACTCAGACCAGTCCCCCAGGACCCACTGTGCATTGAGCAGGGGCTGGATGACGTTTGTGGTTGCTCTCTCTTTGCCGCTCTGTATGCTGAAGTTCATGTCATTAGGAACAAAGAAGGTGTATTTGACTTTGGGGGGAAAGTCCTTACCCGGGACTGTCAGGAGCTGCACGGTCAGAGGCTCAGGCAGGGGCCGGAAGCTCTGCAGCCGCTCCAGGGTGGCAATGGAGCCACTGTACTTCAGGATGGTCCCCTTCACCAAGATGTCCTGCTCTATGGCAGAGATGGCCAGGTTCCCATTGAGCAGGTACTGCCCGTCGGCGGTCTTCAACGCCAGGTAGTTGCCGTCGTTCTGGACCCCTGGGTGGCTCCGTTGTTTCACATCAATGTTTGTGGCACCAGCTGGGATGGTGACGATGTCATTGTAGCCATAACTAGGACAGAAACAGAACAACACCCTTAGGACCAGGAGCTTCCCAGGCCAGAGCCTGAGGAAGCTAACCTGCTGGTGAGGAGGGTGGTAGACAAAAACCAGTAGCAAATAGTTTCGCAGCCACCTCCACATTCCAAATAAATTAGCTGCTGAGGCCGACAGCAATGGTTTGTATGTTGGCTTTGCATGGGCTTCTGCCCTGCCTGGCAACTCCGTTTCAAATGCTGGTGCTAGCCCTGGCTGGCGTAGCTCAGTGGATTGAGCACGGGCTGCGAACCAAAGTGTCGCAGGTTCGATTCCCAGCCAGGGTACATGCCTGGGTTGTAGGCCATGACCCCCCAGCAACCGCACATTGATGTTTCTCTCTCTCTCTCTTTCTCCCTCCATTCCCTCTCTAAAAATAAATAAATAAAAATCTTTAAAAGAAAATCTTAAAAAAATTGCTGGGGCTGAGGCTTTGCATAGGCTTCTGCCGTGCCTGGCAACTCCGTTTCAAATGCTGGGGTTGAGGCTTTGGATGGGTGGATCTTGACAGTAGCACAAGCAGGAAGGCAGCCCAGGGGGCTGAAGACGGCACTGGGGCTGCCAAACCTGGCAGCTCTGGGCTCACATGAGATCTCAAACACATTTAGCTGCTTGCAGTGGTAGAAAACTTTGCTTGGCCACTTTCATACCCAGAGCTCAAACCCACGTGGAAAAATATGTTCCACATACTCATTCCAGAATCTAACGCCTCACCCCACCTCTTAGAGTCACTCGATCTTAGGGCAGGAACCAAGCCCCAGAGGAGTGGGTTTCTTTCTGGATGTGTCCAGATTCCGTGAGCTGTGCTTCTGGGCGCACAGGGTGCTGTTTGGGGAATAGGTTCCAATGTAATTGTAGGGCTTTATGTGAAGTGGAGGAGCGTTAGTTCTTATTCTGATCTTCTGGGCTGAAAGCAGCTGGGTTACACAGGTTGGGAAGAAAGTGAAAAGGACGGAGAGGAGCAGAACCAGTCGGTTCTCTATTTTTGCTTTATGCTCAGCCACTTCCCCAGGGCAGTGTGAAAGCGTGCATGGGCCCATCTGTCTAACGCCCAGGAGGCAGCCGGCTAGGCGACCCCATATCTGAACATCCCACGCCCCAGGCTTCTTTTTTCTACATCCTCTGATTTTAAATTTGGAAAGACCTCCAATTGTCTGCTGTGGGTTGATTCTGTCGATACAGGGAGAGACAGAGGGGCCTGTGTGGCTACATAACACCTGCCCTCCCCTTCCTCCCCAGGTGCCTGCAGCGGCAGGAAGAAGATTGTCCAGGAGTTAAGAAACCTGGGTTCTCTTCCTGGCTGTAACTCGTTATCAGTGTGACCTCAGGAGAGCCAGGTGATCTGACCGAACCTGTTTCTTCACCTGTAAATGGGAGATAACAGTGCTGGCCTTGCCTACCTCAGAAACTTATTTTAGGAATCAAACCAAGCCACACAGGCAAAACACTTAATCAAATATCAGGAGCTTAATAGATGTGGGGCACTGAGCTGTGAGCAAGTGTATGGAGTGCTCAGACTTGGAAGTCACTGAGGTCCCTGAGGTCCCCTGCCCTTGTACCCCCTTCTCTAAAGATCCACCTGCAGGAAGCATAGACTCACCAGGAGGCGGGTGAGGCGGGTGTCCTTCCCAAAACAGGCCTGGAAGAGTTGCTTCCTGGCAAAGGTCCCCGTTACTCAGCGAAGCTCTATTGCCAGTTGACTCAGAGATGATCCACCCCTGTCCATGTGGCCTCTGGCTGCCCTGTGCCTGGTCCTCTCTATGGCCAGTCCCCGTCCTGAGTACTCTGCATGTCCCTTCTCATGACTACTTTACATGACTCCCAGATCCAGAGGACTTCTGAGATTTTGTCAAGAAACGGAAGTTCAGTACTCCCTGGGTATTAAGGAGCAGCCACAATTGAAACCTAGGAAGATGCGATTCCAAAGCCCGTTCTGCTATTCTGCCTCCACGCTGAACTACTAGGGGGCTCACCTTGAGGGGTTGAGGGAACCAGAGATCTTCCTGCACGAGTTGCCTTTGCCTCCACACACCCCACATTTGTCCAGCTTCCTAGGTGAGTCCACCACATGGTCGCAGCCAGCCTTGACACACTGGCCACGGACACAGATGGCCAGAGTCTCTGGGCCACACAGGGTGCCGTCGATCACCTGTAGCAGGGAAGGGAAGGGATAGGGAGGGGAGAGGAGGGGAGGGGAGGGAAGGGGAGGGGAGGGAAGGGAAGGGGAGGGGAGGGAAGACAGGGTGTGGTGAGCACAAACACAGCCCTGGCCCAGGGTGGGGGTGGGGGTGGGGGTGGGGGTGGAGTGGTGACAACAGGTGACTTTCAATCTCATCTATTAATCTGAGTTCTAGGAGGATTCTCACCTTGGCCTCAAACACTTTGAACTCACTCCTCCCCCGGGCTCGACAGAACAACTTGCAGCGGTCCCGGGGAGACACCCCTGCGTACTTGGGGACCCACTGCAGGAGGTTCCCGTCCACGTCAGTGTAATTGTAGGCATTATACTTCTCACACTGCTGCTCCCGAAAGCTCTTCCCTGAAAAGAGTATTGAAAAAGCTCGAAGTTAACATGCTGTGCTGAAGTGGGGCTCCCAGCTGCAGAAAGGCCTGGACTCAGGAGTCTTTCTTCCTCTTGGTTTTGACCAGGCTCAGGACATAGGTTCAGCATCTCCTGGGCCCAGCATTTCTAGGTACACCCCACCTAGAGCCACGTGGGACCCTGATTCACAGAGGCAAGGAAAGGAGCCTCCAGCCTCAGCAAGGCTTTCTGGGATAAATTCCCTTTCCATTTGATGAAGATACTAAGTCTGTTTTACAAATAAATAATCTTTAGGTGAAAATAGGGGACAATTCAGTAAGTGTGGAAAGTGCAGAATGAAATTATATTTTTGGGCCTCTGTTACTGCACCCCAGGTTGACTTCCTCAGTGGCACTGGACACATGGCCATGGACTTCCCGCTACAGCTCAGCTCTGACGGTGCCCTGCGTGCGCCCCACTGGCTGTGATTCTGGCTGTCTTGGGGGGACTCCATCGGCAGGGGCTGGGATCAGCGCCAGCTCAGCGCAGCCCGACTCCCTGCCGCCCCTGCACTAACTGGGCCGGTTTCCACTGGGTGGCACTTGCACGTTCCGGTCTGAGGCTGATCACTGGAGTGTCTGCGGCCTCCGTCGCCCAGCTGTCATCAAATGCTACCAAATTCTGGGCAGTCTGTGAGTCTAAATGTCTCTGTGCCACTCTCACCACCTCGGTCCCCTGCACAAGCCCAAGCCTTGTGGCTTCACTTGGGGCCAGTGCCCAGCCTCCCGCACACAGCTGCCTCCTTTCCCGTCCCGCCTCGTGCTGCTTCCAGAACAATCCATCTGCAGTAAGAGTTTTGCACAGCCCTGAGATTAAGCCTGCTCTTATTGCTGAGCTTCTCCAGCTCAGCTCTGCGCCTGCATGCCCTGTGGGGACTTCGAAACATGGTGGCTGTGCCCCGCTCTGAGTCAGTGCGTCTGAGGGGCCTGGGCCCCGGGTCTCAAAGTTCTTCCCAGGTGACTTGACAGGACAGCTGGCACTGAGAACATCTAGATGCCATTGAATTTTTTTAAAAAAGATATTGTTTATCTATTTTTAGAGAGAGTGAAAGGGAAGGAGAGAGAGAGGGAGAGAAACATCGATTCATTGATTCAGAATGGCTGCTCTGGCTGGGGCGGCCGTAAGTGGCCATTACCATCAGGGGGACATTCCTCCGTGTGGCACGACTGGTACTTGGTTCTCCGGCCCAAGCAGTATCTTCCTCCGTTCTGAGGCTCAGGGTCCTTGCACTCGCGGTGTGAAAACTGAACTCCTCCTCCGCAGGTCCGGGAGCACTCTCCCCAGGGTCCCCAGGGGGCCCAGCCTCCATGCACCATGACCTACAACACACAACGCCACTGAGTCAGCAGCTGAGTTATGACTGGGGGTGGCATGGAGGTCAGTAAACTGCCCTGATCATTCGTTTCATGTCTGTGTGGCCTGCTTGGCTGTCAGCTTCGTGAACACAGAGGCCGTGCTGGGCTTGCTCATGGGGGCTGCCCAGTGTCTGAAACAGAGCTTTGCCCTCAGTATGGTACTCAGTGGTAGCTGTCAAATGAAGCTCTGTTATGGAACTGATGTTGGGTGTGATGCAGCAGTTCTCCACGGGGTCTAGTCTTGTCCCTCAAGGGCAAGTGGAAGGGTTTAGAGACCTTGGGGTTGTTACCGGAAAGGGTCCAGGCTGCTGGCCTCTCATGGGTAGAGGAAGAGGTGCTGCTAAACCTCTAACGACGAATATCCCACAGTGAACCAGACTCCCCCTACACAGACACCTATGCAGCCCCCAGCGTCTCTGGAGCTGAGGTGGGAAGTCCTGGTCCAAAGGAACAGCCACTGGGAGGTGCAGCTGCTCGTCCACCAGCTCCCAGTTCAGGGGCGGGTGTCCTGGGCGATGGACAGAGCTGCTGCCAGCTTGGTCCTGTGAGGACAGAGCTTTGTCACTGGTGCCTTCATAGAGTTTTCAAAATAAAACTGATATTAAAAATGGCATATTTGCTTATATAAAAAATGAAAACACAGAAAAATGTAAAAAAGAAAGTAGAACACTAAAAAAAAAAGTGCTACTACCCAGAAGAAAAACATGGTTATAATTTTAATCAACAGCCTTTCACACTTTGCTTTGAATATTTAATCATAAAGAGGAGGTGTTTTTTGTTTTATGCAGATGGGATGCTGTCACATATATAGTATTTTATGATCTGTCCTTTTCCCTGAAAAATGGATGATCAATAGCATTCCATGATCACCCCAGGTCACCCTGCCCAGGACCGAGCTTCGCTCTGGTGCTGGGTGGGGGAGGTTGCGCGGACCCCCTCCGCCTGCTCCGACGATGCGTGAAGCACTGGCTATGTGAGAGGCTGACGCCTGGGAGCGAAGCTCAGTGTCCACACAGGAGGAGGCTGAGGATGAAGCATGAATTTTACCCCGGCTCAGGCTCAGAGCTAGCGCGGGGCTTACCTGGCCCAGGATGGCTCTTGAGGCTCCGTGCAAAAGACACACATCACTGAGAAGAGCCCTTGGGACAGGGAGTGCCCAGGCCACTCTGGTGATTCAGTGCTGGGCTGGGACCAGGCTCCATAACCCAACAGATGCTGTTTCATAGGGCCGCCTCAGTGACTCGCAGTGAGGGAAATGTGATCAGCCACACAGGCTGGAAGCATTAGGAGCGGCGCAATGAGGCGGATCGCTGAAAACTCTCTGCGGCATTGCCTTGGTTCTCCCTGCACACGCGCTCTGTCCTGGCCAAGGGTTCTCTGCCTGCTGTTGGCGGTCCAATTCCTCCTCCCCCTCCTTTTTGAGTACGGAATTCCCACAACTACTCTCATTTCCCCGACCTCTTAATTATGAATTCTGCTCAGACATGGGTAGGATTGGAATACTTTTCCTTCATTCTGATCGAAAGTTCCTCTCCTGAGTCACTCTTATCTGTTCATAAAAGAATTCCGAACGGCTTCCATGTATTGAATGCCCATGGTCTTCGAGCTGGAGTGTTTCATATTTATCACCAGTCTTCACATCAGCGCCAAGCAATTCCAGATGGGAAGCTCCCCAGACGCCTGTGGCTCTGGTGGCACCATCCATTCACTCTGAGTATGGCTCCGAAGGGCTCCTCTTGTGTTTGCATAAATATGCTTTGCTTTGTTTGTAAGAAGATGAGTGATTTTACTTAGAAGTCATAGTTGCAGCTTGGCCCAGAGTCTCTTAGTTTCTGGCTCTCAAGTGTGGGTTCCCCCTTGAAAACACAGCCCTCCCCTTGCCCTCCACCCCACCTCCGTGTCCCCAAATGGCCACTGCTCACCTTAGGCCTCTCTACTTCCTCCTCAGGAAGACAGCTGCCCTCCCAGCACAGGTGCCCGGGCCCACAGGGTGTCCCATCTGCCCAGGGCAGGCTGCCGTTCTTGGTGTGGCAAAGGGGCTCGGCGCCGTCCATGTGGCACCACAGCTGGGCACAGATGTCCTGGGCAGAGGTGTTGGGACAGTGGCGGAAACCCAGACCAAAGATCTGCTTGCACTGTTGGTCCAGCTCATAAAGTGCCCTCTGCCCCGGGAGGTCTGTCGGGAGGGGCAGGGCAGAGGTGGGGGCGTCGAGGAGACAGTCTCCTGAGGAATGGAGGAAGCAGAGGAACAAGAGTAAGGGGCCAGAGTTTCCCTCTCCAGCTCTCCCTGGCTCCCGTGCTTAGTTCTCAATCCCTCCTAACGGGGTTGAAGGTCTAGATGTCACGCTTTCCTGGACCTTAATCTAAACACTCATCGCTCATCATCTGGATAGAACTTGTCCAATTTTTGACTATTAGTCACAAAATTTATCTTTAGGATTGAATTTCTTTTGTTATCCAGAGCATCTTCTATGATTCAGTGTTTATCTGGGGAATGCCAGTAAACTGTGCTGCTCTTCTACATCACATTATAATCGGGGGTATAAATGAGCTCTTAAAAACCATGGCATGCAAAATACAGCCAAGGTACTGATGTTTGGATAAGCCCTTATTTTTGTGTTGTATTCGGCCCTGCCTCCTTCAAGGAGGAGGCTCCCGAATAAAGTGTTTTCACTGCTTTGCTCCGCAAGTCAAGCCATTCTAACCAGGCCCACCACTCCCACCCTTGACCCCCTGCGAGCTCTCTTTGCCATTTCCAAGCTATCATGTGATGTCTACCCCAGCCAGAACACTCTTCTCTCCTCTGTATTACAAACATCCTTCCGTTCCTTCAAGCTCTGTTCAGACCCACCTCTTCCAGACAGACCTTCCCAGACTAATTCCACCTGCTTCGTGACTGACAATCAAGATTAGCCCGAAGCTCAGCCTGCTGGAAGATGGGGCCTGGAAGAGCCTGAGAAGGCTGTGGCCCCAGAGGAGGGGCAGGGGACAAATCCCTGAAGTCTCTCCTAACCCTCTAAATGGTGATGGTGCTTTGTGGTGGAGCTCAGCCTGGAACGGCGCTACAGTGATCTAAGGAGCTGGCCAGGCAGAGCTCCACAGCTAGCAGCAGGCCAGGGGCGCCTACCGTGCCCGCCGTCCAGGAGCTCCGTGAGGTACATGGCACTGCAGGGGGACCAGGGCAGCGTCTTGTTTAGGTGGACGAAGAGGGGCGCCATCATGTGGTGCTTGCCCATGGGCCCAAAGAGCCGTGCACAGGGCTTGGAGTCATCATGGGGCATGCTGAGCACGTGCCCTGAGGACAGAGAGAGACCCACAGTCTACCCTAAGGGCCGCCCCTGCTCTCCGCCCTGCCCACCCTGCTCCAGGGCGCCCCAGGTGGCCCAGTGCCCCTCCCTCTCCTTATTCCTTAAAGATATTTTCCATTCTGGGTTTTCTCTTCCAGAAAGCTTTCTCAGAGTACTGAGGAATGTTGGTGTCCCTTTATTTTCTGCCTCAGCCTGTCTTAAATCCACAGTCACCTCAATTACTCACTCGCACTCTCTTCACAGTCAATCTTCCCAGAGTTCTGACCCCTTAGCCTGCGTATGGCATCACAACTTTCCTTGGGCATTGGTTTTGATCCAGGACACCATCTTAATATTTTGGCCTTATGCTCAGGGTGCGCATGGAGGAAGCACAGTATGTACTGGCACCTGATCATTCCGACAGAACGACAAGGGGAGCCTGGCTAGCTGTGCGGGCTGCGTAGGCCGCAGAACCTGGGCGAGCCCGGGGTTGGAAGAGGTAGTTCTCTTTGACAGCGCCCGGCAGGCTCGGGCACGGCAGCTCTTACCCAGCTCATGAGCCAGCGTGTAGGCCGCCTGGAGCCCCTCGTCCTCGATCACAGAGCAGCTCTTGTTGGGGTCACAGATTGTGCCAATGTCCGCCACGCCCAGGGTGTCGCACATGCCGTCCTTTCCACAGAAGTTCTGCATGTCGGAGAAAGGGAGAGCATGAGAACAGACATGAAACAGACAGCCTTCCTATTGCTGCTCCCCCTCAGTGGAAGGAAGGCTCCAATCTCTATGTCTTCGCAAAGGACACTCAATTGAGGAAGACTGGAATTCTTTCTGCATAGGTGTGTGCTAGGGCGGGCTGGGACAGCTTGTCTTGGGAGGCAGGACAGCACAGTGGGTAAGAACACTCACCTGCAGCAAGACTACCCGGGCTTGACCAGGGGCGCTGCCACTTTGTGCTACTCTGTGCCACAGTTTCCTCGGCTGTGAAATGGGGGCCTGTACAATAGCACTCGCCTTGTGGAGGAGTGAACAGAGCCTTGTACACATCATCACATTCTCTAGCCTTGAGGAAGCAGTCCGTCTCTGTCACACCAGGTCGGGGGCAGCTTCCTGATCTGGGGAAATCCTGACAATAACTGCCTGGCTACCTGTCCCGACATTTAACAACCGTCCCAGATGGACCTCCTCTCTCCATTCCTGCTCCAGATCCCCCACTGGGCAGGGCGAGCCCATTTCCTCTTGTTATGAGCTCAGTGGACTGCTGGTCACAAACATTTGGAAAAGGGCCCTGTTGAGATTCTTCTCCTTCCCTTGCAAATACCTCACACGAGCCCTCATGACCTCCTCCTCGTGGCTCCACACGCGAGGCTCCTGAGTCCAGCTGGGGCCAGCAGGGAGACATTTCCCATGTTTGGGCAGGCCTCCTGGTCTCCCTCTGATCCACCTGCCCTGCCTCTCCCTCCCCCTTCCCTGGGGTCCTGGGTGCACAGACCTGCCTGGTGAGCAGAATGGCTGTGTCGAAGTGCTCCGGGTGCCGGTCGCTGGGCTGGTTGAAATGCCGTTGCCAGTTGCAGAAGTTGCGCAGTGTCAGCCCCCCATTGTCAGACACTTCGGGGCCCCATTTCTCGTCTTCCACTATCAGCACTTTCACCACCACCAGGTGCACAGAGTTCCTGATGCTGGGGTGCTTGTAGATGCGGGCAGCCACGGACATGAGCGTCAGGATGTGGTTCTGTCGGGAGGAGGTACAGGAAGAGTGAAGGGCTTCGTCTCCTAGCCTGCTGCCTCCCCATGGCCACTGCCGCTAGTTACCCACCCCGCGGGCCTGCTCTGCGCTGAGGGTCTGATCAACGGCATCTTGCTGAAAACCCACACCCTCAAGACCCTTCATTTCCTGTAAAAGACAGTTGTGTCTCAGTAAGTGTCCCAAGATCACACATCTGAGTGTACAGCCGGCATCTGGACCCACAGTGTCTGGCTCCAAAGCGCATGCATTTAACATCGTGTCCAGACACCTGTGGCTACGTGCATCAACAGTCATTAAAATTCAATGAAATTGAAGTTCTAGTTCTTCCATCGCACTGGCCACATTTCAAGTGTGTCAGTATCCATCTATGGCTTGTGGCTACTGTGTTGGACTGAGTGGACGGAACGTTCCATCATCACAGAGAGTTCTATCGGATGAAACTGCCTATTGTGCCTTGACCTTGACACAGCCTTCTCCCTGCCAGCGGCCCTCATTCCCTCCCCATTCGCAGCCCAGAAACAGCGAACTGAGTGCTCCAGGTTAGCAGACTGGCCCTCTTAGAATCCAGCTGAGCATTTTCCTGGTGTCTGCTGGGGTCACCCACCCCTGCTTCAGGATGGGGTCACTGCTCTAAGAATCACTGCTAACAATAGCTACTCTGCTCCAGGCGCAGGGCCCGCACTTCGCCTATGCTGCCCACTGCATGCTCATGATAACTCTGTGCAGGAGGCATTGCCACCCCTACTTCTAGGCCCACACAGCTCTTCCAGACAGCATGCAGCGCAGGCGTGTCTGCCTCTGAGGTCCACACTCTTCCCAGTAAGTTTCCCAGTGCGTGGACTTCTGGTTTTTGCCTGGACAGCCCTGAAGCGTTTATTCCCTTCTGCCTGGGGCGTTGGAGAACCCGGTGGGCCTAATGAGGCCCAGATGCTCAGACTCACACCTGCTGTCGGCCCCACCCAGGCCAGCTGAGACAGTCCACGTCACTGCCTGGCCGCCATCCTGTCCCAGGCTGCCAGCTGCTCCCACGGCTGTGTTGGAGGCCAGACTGGAGCTCACTCTCCTGCCTCCGGGACCCCTGAAAGTGAATTCTCTTGGGTTGTTTTACAGAAGAGACAAAGGGGCTGAGGCACGTGTGCCTGCAGCCATGAGTGTGGCCGGCTGAGCAGCCACTTGCTTGCCCTGCTCCCTGTTCTCAGGGCACCGTCTCTGCAACTCTCCTTTTCTCTCCCTGGTGGTCTGGATGGCAGGAGTGAAAGGAGGGTAAAGGAGAGTGAAAAGCTAGAGAGGGACATTCTATCGTTTGAGGCCGTGTGTGGGAGTTCCAGATGAATCCCATCATTTATGAATGGGATCTGTCTGTTCACCTCACAGGCAACAAGCCAGGTATTTTGTAAGCCCTACAAACAGGGGTTGGCAGGTTCCTGAGGGTGTCAAGTACTCCAGCTATGTTTAGGCTGATGCAAACATCTTATCAGCAAAGCTAAAACTTGGCATTTGCTCTTGGAGTTGAATTCCTAAGGGAACAAAGCAATCACATCATTATGCAACTGGGGGTGAGGGCTGAGGAATGGTAGCTTGCTGAGGACACTTCCTGTCCAGGTTTTCACAGCTCCCAGGGGCAGAACGAGTCTCTTGGTCTCTTACCCGAGGAAGGTCCAGGGTCTGCTGGGCCAGGGGCCAACTCCTGAGATTTCTTCCCAGGCAACCTGAAACTCCCTTCATGAGAGTTTGCCCCTTTGAGTCCTGATTTTATAATTTTAAAACTGGGGAGATGATGTCTTATAAAGAAGGTGTGAAGAGAAGAGGTACCAGCTGCTCACCGCTGGTCCCAGAAAAATATATAGAGAACCGAAGACTGGAGGCTTCAGAAGGCTCTGTGATCCTGCGCTGCTGCACCACCGATGGGTGAGGCAGCGGCGATGTTGCCCAACACCACGGTTTGCAGGGAGTCTCTGCCTTCACAGTTCAGGTAGCTCGGAGCACCTTCTCCAGACGACAAATTGCTGTTGGGCTGAGCTGGCTTGAGAGCCATTTCCCTTTAAGACAGTGGGCTCGACTCGAGGACATTGACGGTCCTTCTGGCTGCCATCTCAGAAGACAGTTTCCATTGCACGCTGCAGAAGGGTTGCAGCCTGGGTCCAGTGTTTCTGTTAAAATGCCCACTTATCTCCTTTTATCCACCCCACTGCGCTTTTGGAGAGGGGAAGGGTCACCATCCCCACCGTAGCTCCTCTGAGAAACAGTGGCAGGAATGCCTGATGCTGGCAGCGCGTCTTACAGTTTCCCGTGGGGAGGGACCCCTGGGCCTCGGTGGGGTGGTGGCCCTGAGTCAGCGAGCTTCTTCTGATTCTCAGCCAACCCTGAGTTACGGTTCCACGGGGAGTGGACTCCAGAGCCATGAAAGAAAAGGTCAGATGGCTCGCTCCACCACCTGCTGTCTATTTATAGCTCCCTGCACACCAGAGCAGGCTGCTTGCTGAGGTATGTGAGTAAGGTTGTACCCTGGTGGAGTGGGGTCCCAATACAGCAGGTAATCTCCACCAAACACGACAGGCAAGTTGGACAGTCCCCATGGCCAGCCCTGCTTTTGAATGACTTGGGAATCTGCCACCCTTAATTCTCGTTGAGGAAGGCGGGGCATCTTTCAGGGAGCCTTCTTCTCCATTGGCTGCCCCAGGACCTGGAAGAGAGAAAACCACCCGGCCGGCCGGCTGGGCTGGAACACAGCCCTCTTTGATCCTTTGAGCTACAAACAAGCAGATCCCATCCCAGAGCTCTGGTGCAGCCAAAGCCACGAGGGTGGGAGTCGGGGGGCGGCTGGGCCTGGGTCTGGGTCAAATGTATTTCTAGCAACTTCCGTTCACAGTGCCACCTGTTATGCTTTGGTCGTTTGCTCTTTGCACTGTGGGTCCTTCTGCTTTGCCCTGCAGCATGCCGGGACTGGTAAGGAGAGGAAGTGAGGAAACATGGAGACCCCCTCTGACTTCAGCAACCAGTGCCATACCAGTGCCATTTCCTGGTTTCCTTCTGGGCATGTCTCTAGGGCCTGGGACTCTCTCTCCTGAGGAGGAGGTTGGGGAGAGGCAAAGGACAAGGAAAGAAGAGAGGCTCCTGCACCAGTGCCCTTCATTTCTCCTCATTTGCAAAACAACTGGAACAAGGTCACCTCCCCAGCACACGCTTAACAGAACCGCAAGGAGGCGAGCATAATGCTGTGAGCCAAGCCAGCTGGAAAGGGAAACCTCTCTGCCATGTGGGACAGCAGGGATGACATAGCAGTGGTTGCTATGGGACCACACTGCCCTCCTACTCTGACAAATGCCATCGCCAAAGGCAACTCTATGGTCAGCTGTGTTTTGTTGAACACCCACTATGTGCCAGGCACTGGGTCAACTGCTTTCCATATTTTACTGTAACCTCAACACAGTACTAGGACATTGGTATAGTTATTCTTATTTTGCTGGTGAAAACGGAGGTACACAGATATCAGTACCTTGCTCAAGGACACAGTGATTTCCATTTGAATCATCACACTGACTGTCCCCTCTTTGCTGCCTCGAGGAAAACTACACCGCAGCTGAGACAAACACAAAGCCTGCGAGCAGGCAAGCTTGCCCTGAGCTCGTCTAGCACACTTCCCATCTCCCCTCCCCCGGCAGGCGGGAAAGGCAAATCAAAACCCTTAGAATATGAAGGCATTTTCTTTGGGAAATACTTCGCATTGTCGATCATTCTGACTGCAGCAGACAAAAGAGATGGAAAAGACTCACCCTTTGGCCAGTGGGAGAACACAGTTCACAGGTATACAACACTTGTCTTTCATCCATGAAGACTTGGGCGGCTCCCGAGAGAGTGGGGCATGCGTCTATTTCTGTTATTTCCCAAAGCAGGACATTTTTGACAATTGGACATGGTACTAAATGGGACTATGCTGGGCACAGTGGGATACATGGTCACTTCAGAGTTCGGGCTATAGGGACTTTTTCCCCAGAGAGTGTGGTTAAAGGGGAGACGAAATGGCTATCTATGACTTAGCCTTTCCCTAAAATCACTCGCTAGTCCCTTGACATCTTGGGAAACCTCTGGTCTGCTCTGGGGACAATGAATGTCACTCCCAGGACCCTCTCTGCTGAGAAGAGGATTCAGAAGCTCAGTCGGCAGCTGATCCACTGGCAGGACAGATTTCCCAGACGGAGCGTGGGTGCTGCTCGGCCCCCACTCACTCCTCTCCTGCTCCAGTTTCATCCAGAGAGCAATTAGCAGCCGCCGGATGCAGACAGAGTTAATGGTCTCTTCCGAGGTGGTCTGTCCTTTCAGAAAGCCCCTTTGTCTGGGCCCCTTCACTCTGAAACCAGATAAGAAGGTGGGAAGCAGGGGCCCCTCTGTCAAGGGATTAAGTGAATTCAAGTGTACGGAGCTCTGGAAAACTTCATTGTCACTCGGTGGTGAGACCTGGTTCTCTCTTTTGGCTTTTGTGGTGGTTCCTTCTCTGTATCGGGCTTGGCGGGGCGTCTGTGGGCTTGCTGTGTTCAAGGACCAGTTCCCACAGTTTGGACAAGTGTCAGGCAGTCGGAAGAGTCACAGCACCCTCCTCCCCACCCAGCTCAAGGCCTCTTTGCACAAAAAGGAGCCCCATGCTCAGCTTCAGGAGACTGGGGTTGCCACTCAGCCCTGCCGCTTACTTCCTGGCTGTGTGACCTGGAGAAGATCACTCATGCTCTGTGAGCTGCACCTTCTTCATCGAAGTCCCTCACGGGTATTTCCATGGAGGCGGCACATGGGAACCACTCTGAACAGAACATACTCAGAGCGGTTTCTGTACACAGTGCTGAATTTTCCAGGAGATTCATCATGAAGCAGCCTCACAGAATACATAGTCCAGGGGTCTCTCTTCACAGAGGAGGAAATCTAAGCCCTTGAGGGGATAAAATCTCTCCTCATCCTCGTCATGTCCCTAGTTGCTAATACACCCCCAAGTGTCTCCATCGGTGTGCAGGAAGTCTCCAGGAGACTCCTTGGAGAGTTACTTATAAAGGTCTGGATTCTATTTCAGGGAAGGGTCTGGGCAGGCAAGGTCTTGGAGAACCAGGACTTGACATTCATTCTTGGCTGGTCTCATGGGCACTTTCAGGAAGCCCAGGGAACTGAATTGAGAAGTTCAAGTTCATCCTGTGGTATCTCCACAGCTGGTGAGCAGTCAGAGCAGAGGGGCCGGTGGGCGGTCATAAAATCAGTTGTGCCTCAGCCCCTGCCCACCCCAGCAGGAGTGTTGGTGGGTTGGGACATAATGAGACTGAGGAGGAAGTGGCAGGGTTGGCCTAGCTGAGAGAGGACTTTTCTGTGAGCCATGAGACCTAACTGTAGATTCCCTGGGGAGAGGAGCTCAGCCTTCACAGGTGCTGATGCCCATTCTGATGTGCTCTCTTGACCAGGGCTGGCTGGGTGCAGAGGTATGAGCCTGCGAATGCACATGGAGGGGGAGGGGGTGGGATACGCATGTGCTAGGCCATCCAGCCAGGTATCACATGAGGCATCATACAGGGCAGCTCTGTAAAGAGCGAGCCAACTTGTCTGGTGCAGCAAACCTGGGTCAGAATGCAGCCCAGCCTCCTGCGTCAGGGGCCCGGGCATCCTGGAGCCCCACACCCAATCAAGGATGCCTTTAGTTGGCTCTGGTATCTGCAGAGGCTATTCCTGGAGGCAAATACTCAGTATCTCAAGGGTCTAAGTGAACAGCTCAGAGAGCAAGATGGTAGGAAGGTATGAGGAAGGACATTTCGGCTCCAGAGATCGCCAAGCAATTGCTTTTCCTGCTGCTTCTCTGTGCTCTTGTTATTTGGACCCCTGGTTCACAAGCTTGTCAGACACTGGTCCACATGGGGTGGGGGGTGGGCTCAGCAGTTCAGCTCTGGGTTTGCAATGAATGTACTTCAGCCTCTTTCTGGTGTTGTCCCCTAGTAGCCAGGCATGTGAAAGAAACTCCCCTGTTGAGGGCTTGCCGGGCAGGCAGAGAAACAGATACTAAGTCAGTGTAGACACAAAGCCTGTGGGCAGGCCATCTTGCCCACTTGCAGCTGTCTTGCCACGCTCTGGGACAGGTGAACGACATGACAGGCATGTGCAGAGGAGCCTGCCCAGGGTTCAACCCGCCCCCGCAGTAGCCAGAGCAGCAGCCACATGGACCTCTCACCGCCCCTCAGTGCTTCCCATCCTACTATCCAGAATGCATTTCCCAGTGACAGCCACGTGGGAAAGATGGGGTGAGAAACAGAAGGGCCAATCGCGCCTCGTCTGGACTGCTCTGCACAGGTGATGACGAAGTGCTCGGTGCCTCCAACAGTCAAGCACAGGCTGAGCCTGGAATAGGTCCCCAGCCAAGACTGGCATCACTGAAAAAGCACGAGCCGAGCCACAGCAGCGCCCGTGATCCCTGTTTCAGAGCGCTGTTCCCGCAGGCCAGTTCTCCTCCGCCTGTTCCCCAGGAAGAAGCGGTGCAGCCCCTGCACTTTGCCGGCTCTGTGGGGGAGACACTGGGGCCAGGGCAACACAGACACTCCTGCCTGGCTCGCACCACCTTTCCATCTAGTTAGAAACCATCTGGCTACAGGGGCTATCCCTGGGACACAGTTTTCCTGCCCTGGCTCAGTAGAGAGCTGTCTGGCCTTAGAGTAGCTGGGGCGGACCAAGTATACTTCTGGTGCCACCAGCGGCAGTAACTGAAAGAGATCACACACCCTCCCCTCCCGCGCTTTCCACTGAAGCGTCAGTTTCCCGCACTGAGCCCCCAGGCAGAAATCCTGTTCCCTCCCTTTGGTGCTGATCCTGGTGCTGCCAAGATCTGCAGGGCTGAGCGCCAGGTTGGCAAGGTAGTCCCCGCCCCCTGATCAGAACCAGCTGGGCACAGAGAAGTGGGGCAGCCCCTCTCCAGCGTCAGTTCCCTCCAAACAATGTCTTTTATTTACGGCAAACTCAGTTCTGTATGCAAGGGAATGAAATAGCCACATCTTTCTGTGGGAGCCCCTCAGGAGACAGTAGAGGGCTGAGAAACAGTTCTTCCAAAACTTTCAGTTTTCATCGCTGTTGGGAGAGGCAGGTGCCTGGGGTGCCTTAAAACCCATTTCAGTTCAGTTTGCCGAGTGCTGCAGGAGGTTGGGGATGGGAGGAATGGGGGCGAGCAGCCGAGAGGGGGAAGCGCTGGGACCTCCACCCTAAATTGGAAGGGACGTTGTGGGGAGGGGCAGTAGGTAGCGGATGTCAGAGGTTAAGCAAAGAGTCCCTGAAGTTTCTCAGAAAGGAAAGGACCTTGCCTGGGGCAGGTCTTGGCAGAGTGAGGAACGTGAAGGGTTTTCTCAGAGGGACCGAGAAGGGAAGAATTTGGAGACTCTAGGAGGTGACTGGGGACCTCCGGGCAAAGTGAGTCCTACCTGCAGGTCGGTTCCATAGAAGGCTGCCATAGACGCGTCAGCCACCAGTAGCGTCTCCACGAAGCGAGCCTCAGACACAAACCGCTTGGTCCTACTCGCGCCCCCCAGGGGGGACAGCAGCTCGCCCGCGCCTTCCGACTCCTCTTCGCCTTCCTCCTCCCGTGCCTCCTCCTCCTCTTCCTTCTCAAGCTCGTCGTCTCTGTACTGCCTCTGACCGTCACCCTCAGGTCCTCGAGGGAGGGGGTGGGGCTGGGCGCCGCGCGCCCCCAGGCCCCAGTGCTGCAGGCGGTGCGGCCGGTGCAGGGAGTCCCCCGCGCCCTGCGGCTGGATGGTGAACTCCTCGCCATCCAGCAGGAAGGAGCCGCTCAGTCCGCCGCACAGGCTGACGGCTGCCAGAGACTCCGGCTCGCCGTTCACTGTGCCCGAGAAGAAGCAGTCACGCAGCTCGCGCTCGCCCCCGGCAGCCCCGGCGGAGCTCCCTAGGCGCTCGATCTTGAACTCCGGCGCCAGGAAGCTGGCGTCGGGCGCCAGGCGCAGCACGAAGTTCTGGCCGAAGGCGGACAGGTGGAGCGCCAGCTCGTCCGCGTCGGCCGCCCACCGCGTGGGCACCACCAGCTCCGAGGCCGGGTCCCGGGCTCCGGGCCGGGCCGGGGCGCCGAGGGCGAGCGGCTGCAGCAGCAGCAGCAGCAGCAGCAGCAGGAGCGGCGGCCACTGGGGAGCGGCGCGGGGCATGGGGGCTCCGGCTGCGGCGCTCGAGAGGGAACAAGCCGCCGGGCGCGGGCAGGTGCTGGCGGCGCACGCAGTGCCCGGCTGCTCCCTCTAGGAAAAAGGAAATCAATCAGGTCGTTGGGTGACTCAGCCCGTGGGGACCTGGCCGCTGCGAGGTCCCCTGGCGGCCCCTCCGGCCCCGCAGCCCGCTCCTCTGCGCCCGCCCGCCGATCCGAGCGCGAGCAACTGGCGCCCCGAGCCGCGCGCGCCCGCCCTCCACCCTGCCTCCTCCCCACCCCGGGAAGCACCGAGTGGGCTGCCGAGCCCTTTGTATTTATACTTCCTTCCCGGCTTTGACATAAGAGGTTTATTTTTGATATCTCACTATTCCCGTTTCCCCTCCCCTGGGATCGGAGTGAGAAACTGAAAAGAGGGAGCGAGAGAAGAAAAAAAAAAATTTGGATGAAATGTAAAACCAATCAGGAGTCAGCGAGACTCGCTCCCCTCTCTACCCCTCCCTCCTGAAGTGTCAACTCCAACTTTTTTCCCCTTCCCTTCACGCGCGGTCCCGCATTAACTCCTACGGTGCTGGACTGGACCTTCAGGCAGGGTCCTTGGGGAGATCCCAGTCACTCTCTCTCCTCAAAGGTCAAGTGCCCAGGATACATCCTCGAAGTGACTCCTGCCTTGGCCCCAGTGACAGTATTCAGATCCCTGCAGAGTCGCTCTGGGCATCTGATTGTGTAGAAGAGAGCTCTCCTCTGGAGAAGGTTCCAGAGTTTTTAATTGTGGAACAAAAGAGAGAGGTGGGAAAGGTCCTATTCATGCTACCCACCAAGCTGGGGATGGGGGGGAAATACCACCTAGTTAACCGACCCCAGGACTCTGCTACTGTCCCTTCCAGGGGCTGGCAGGGCAGAACCTAGCACAGCGGTAAATGACCAGAAGAGAGGTTGGCAGCAAAGTGGGATCACCCAGAGGGAAGGCAGAGCTTTTCTTAGGAGGGCAGCAGATCACCAGCAGCTGCGTGTCTGGTCCTGAAAACTGGATTGGGACACTGCTCAGTTTCCTCCGGAGGACTTCACGAAAGGTGGCCTATGGGTCACCTCTCATACAAATTAGTATGAGAGTCGTTCCATTCTGTTGCACACTGCCACCTCCCCCTAGGATGAGGTGATTGACACCCAAAGAGAGGAATGACATGGTCTGTAGTCCTCCCCCAGACGCCAGAAGGCAGCACTTCACGGCACCCCAGTCTTAACAGCACAGGTCTGGAGATCGGATTCAAGGTCCTGTCTCTGAGGATAGGCTCTGGAGTCACTCCTTTCTGTTCCCCAGTTTTCTGCCTGTGTTGGGGGCACTGACATTTGAGGTTGCTCATGCTTCTTAGGCCATCAAACTCCTTCCAGCAGCTATGGAGGTTCAGCCCACATGGGAGATTCTCAGGGCTGGTTACCTCCAAGGAGGAGGCTCTCCCAGCCACAGAAGTACTTTTGCAACTACAGAAGCCGTGCCAGATCCCTCTCTCTGCTCTCTCAGAAACACGGAAGGATGGCTTTGAATTAGATGAGAGAAAGGATGAACTTCCCAACCTAGCATGCTGCAGAACTGTCTTTCCTGGATAATTCACAAGAGAGAAATAACTGGAGTCTCAGATGTTCCCCTGAAGCACTTCTAGAGGCGAGGGAATGGAAGGAATGGCCTCTTCAATCCTTTTCCAGAAATGAGCAGAACACTTCACCCCATCCCTGGGAGAGTGGCCTGGACAGGCAGTGTGTGACCCTGTTTTGCTTCAGGCCTGTTGTAACACTCTGATCTTTGGTCTTTGTTTCCTAAAGCCCCTGGTTTATCATTCCTCAGTGTAAAACTCATGATCTTCAATAGCAGTGAAGTCCCTGTGGAGTCTCCTTCTTTCTCCTTTGTAAGCATCCGAAGGGGGTGGGGTGGAGTGGTTGTGCCCACTTTCCCTTCCTCTCCTCCTCAATGCGTATTAATGGCTATAACTGGGAGACTTAAGCAGACCAGGAAAAGTCTTGAATGTCTTTGGAGGCTTCTGGTCTCTGTTGGGAAGGTTTGGGAAACTTCTTTGTTTTTTAAATAGAATGAAATGCCCCTGAAGAAAGCCCTTTGGAAGTTCCTGGGAATAGAGAAGGACATTATGGCCACACGCCCCCCATTTCAACAACAGCTGACTCCTGGCTGGCTCACTGCCGGGTTGAGCTTGCACCCTCCCTCCCTCCAACCCACCTGGACTCACACTTCGCAGCTAGGCTGGCGCCTGCCACTTGCAGTGTGACCTCAAGGTGTCAGGCTTGCCTTAGCTATACTTAAGCCTGGGTCTTTGCAACCGGGACTGAGAAACTGGTTTGTGGTGAAAGCCCTTAAGACAAAGGCAGAGGAAACCAGTACAACAAAACAAACACCGGCAACCAACCAGCCAATTCCGGATTTCCTACATCACCACCTTCTTCCCCAAATACACATTAGAGCAGGGCTGGGCTAAATCCTGCCTGCTGCCTGGATAGTCCACTAGTTGAGAATGTTATTTATATTTTTAAATGATTGGAAAAAATGAAAAAAATTATGAAATTTCATGATGCTTGAAAATGGTATGAAATTCAAATTTCGGTGTCCATAAGCACAGTTCAGTTTCATTGGAATGCAGCTATAGCCATTCATTTACACATTGGCTGTTCTGTGCTATAAGGTCAAGGGTGAGTGAGCCTAAAATACATGTACTCTCCAGCCCTTTGCAGAAAAGGTTGCAGATTCCTGAATTACAGTAGTCAAATTTTGAATGTGGGATTATTTGGACTCAGTATATGTGATTCTCATGAAATAAGAAGCTCAAAAATTTCTTGCTCTGGATGCGAAGGGGAAGTTATATAAAAATTAAAATTAAGATATCGGTGTCTTTACTTCTGTATGTAGCAATTGTTTATTATTTAATTAGTCCTTAAATAATTAAAGGGCTTTTATGTTTGTAGTACCTTATATCATGGGTCTATAGTGATTTTGAGTTTTTAATGAACTATTAGTAACTGGTATTTCTTACTCTACAACTAGAGTTTAATGGAGTGTATGTCATAAATTTATAGTGTCTGCTAAGCTCTGGCATTCTCTTGAATCTCCTTCCTATTGGAAGAGACATCTGTGGCCATCTAACCTACTTCCCCTTGCATTTTGTAGAGGAGAAACAGAAAAGCAGAGGTTTTGGTGATTTGCCTGAAGACACATAATTAGTGGCAATTTTGTCCTTAAAATACTATGGCACCTCCTGCCTGAAGATAAAGAAACGACATTGCTTTTAAAATTTATTTGCAACTCATACCTTCTTGTTAAAATTGAATGCTTTCTCTGGGCCAGGCATTGTTCTAAAGGCTCCTTTTAACTTAATTTTTAGTAATAGCAGCTTCCGACTTTGAGTGCATGTGGCAGTCTGGGCGCTGTGCTGAACAAACAACGCATAGTTTCACTCCATCCCTATGACAGTCTTCTGGAAAAGTCATCCCACAGATGAAGAAAAAGGCTGAGAGGGTCACCCAGTGAGTAAGTGGTGGGAACAGTGTTCTGACCCAAGGCCACATTCATAAGCTACCAGTCAGATTTAATATTTTTCTGGTGATGACGCTGCCTGCTGAAGCAGCATCCCTTGTTTAGAGCCAGGGATTAAATCCCGGTCTCACAGGGTCGGGAGGGACGCCAGGACTTCGTCTTTGACGATCTGAAAGAAGTGAGTAAACAGCTTTTCTCCAAAGCCTGTTACGTGCAGCACTTCCATGTAAATAGAGTTCTTTCTTTCTAAGAAAATGAATATATTTTAGCCACAATCACATTCATTTTCTTTAACTTTGGCTGTCGTATAACAGTCAAATTGCCTATAACAGAGAGAATTCCTGGTCTTACACATTGTGCTGCTGAGCACACAGCCCAGGCGGGCCAGGTTTGATTTTTTTTAAAGATTTTATTTATTTATCTCTAGAGAGAGGGGAAGGGAGGGAGAGAGAGAGAGAAAGAGAGAGAAATGTCAGTGTGTGAGAGAAACATCGATGGGTTGCCTGTCTCATGGGGGCCTGGCTTGCAGCGTGGGTGTGTGCCCCCACAGGAAATCGAACCAGTGACCCTTCGGCTTTCGGGACAGTGCCCGGCCCACTGAGCCACACTGGTTAGGTCGTGTTTGATTTTTGACATCACTTTTGTGTTGGCGCTCATCTTGTATGCCCTCTGGTTTTTGTGATTAACACTTGTATGTATAAAAAGAAATAGCATTTATTTATTTAATAAATAAATTATAAATAAATCCTACTTATTTTTATGTGTTTAGTTCATTCTTAATTCTAAATATTTTAACTTTTGGAATCTTTGGAACTTCACCCAGTGTATAGAAAGTCACTAATTCATATTCTTGAGGCTACATCAAGTTCAGTTTCCCAACACCTGTAAAGTGCTAGCTACTCTGACAGTTTTCCTACCTTCGCCTGGCCGTTCTCCTGTTTCTGGCCCCTCTCAATGAACGCCCTGCCAACTCTGTTATCTAGGCCACTGAAAACCAGATCTGTACAAACTGTAGTGTGAACCTGACATTGACTTGTTTACTGACCACACTTGAATTGGTTTTATTACACCAAGAAGCAAACAGACCCTATCATTTGTATTTTCCGTGACTCACTGCCACAAACTGGGTTCATTGTGGGGCACCCAAAATAATGAAGTTTCCTGAGGTTTCCTGTGGAATGCATCTGTGGTTACCCCCTGTGAGCCCTGGCTGCTAACAGTCACCTGCACTAGGAAGCTTAACTGCAATGGCAATGGCCTTGATGGTAACAGAGGCTTACCTCATGCTTATTTTACTGGCCAGCAGGTGGCATTGTTGGAACTCAGTATTTATCCTCGAGTACAATTTTCAGAGCAACTTTTTCAGAAGTTAGAAATCTTTATCATGCTATGCAAGTCGGAGACAGCAGCCCTTCAGAACTGTACAGACAAACAAAGCTGGCCGTTCACCAGATTTCTTACAGCTGGTCACTGGAGCAGGTGGGAGAAGGTGCTGTGTGGCGGCCGTGTGTGACGTGGCTTGCACTTCTCTGTTTCCTGGAATTCTTTCTTCACCTTGATTTCTGGCTCGTCATTGTCAGGCCAGCCCAGTGCCTTTTCACGCAGGTCCTCCGGCAGTGTGGGAGAGCTGGTAGTCTCTAGGGTCTAGGACGACCTCAATCATGAGGATAATTTAGTTTCTGTGCACCGG